ACCCATTACATCAGTAGTTCTCAACCTGCGGCCCAGTCAGCAGATAGCTGTGGCCCATGTGACACCCTCAGGGCCATACAGGTAGTATATATATTGTGTGGATGCTGACCACATAACACAATAGAGAGCTGCATATGCAGTCCACAATGGTAAATAAGTGGAAAACCACTGCATTATGCCATCGCCGAAGGGACAGTGGAAGACACTGCAATAGGCCGTGCCATACTACAGGCTGCACTCCTCCTTGCATCCTTGCACCCACCTCCATGCTGAGTACTCCTTGCCTATGTTTGGAATACATATAGGAACCATTACTCTAAGAAGAAGAGGAGATTACTTACCTGTAACGGAAGTTCTTCAAGATGTGGGGTCCCAATTTGTATTCCAATACCCACCCTCTGTTCCTGTCTGCTGGGTGGTAAATGGGTGACTGAAGAGGTGTTGACCTGCACAGCCTAATATAACCTCACCAGAGACATGATGCGACGAATGATGTATGCATGGGTCAGTGGCCATTGCTATGAAAATCTTCCGTGTCTGGCACATGGCGCCTACGTGCACCCACATTTGGAATAAAAATAGGGACCACACATCTCAAAGACCCTCCAGTTACAGATAAGTAACCCCATCTTCCAAGTACATCTTACAGCAGGGAGGGGCTCTTCCCAAACCCGTTGTTTATGCAAAACTATTTTCAAGTACCCATCCATGGTCCAGTCAGGAAAAGACAATGGTGTACCGTTAGAGTTATTGGGAAAACGTTGAAACAATTTGTTACTAAAAAGAAACCACTAGTCTTGGAAAACTAGGAGAGGAGGGAATTTCTTCCATGCTGAATCGCTATAGTCTGAGAGAAAGGGGAAAAAAACTGCAGACCCTTGAAAGAGAAGAGGTTTTGAAGTGAAGAACATAGAGAGAAAGAGAGGGCCAACATTTACACAGGGTGCTGTCTGTGAAACACTGTATCCCTTTTATGAGAGGGGTCCATTGGGAAACTGTTCAGAGGCAATAGATAACTTATATTAAAAAAGGGAATTTAGCGAATATCGAAGTGTAAACCCTGATGTTACATCTGTTTTGGTTTTCTGTGTAACTTGTATGCGTTTGTTTTTCATTACTATTTCATCTTTGAATACAATTTTTCTGTTAAATAAAACTTTGGTTTATTTTTACTCCCAAGTAGCCCTTTGTTGTGCAAACAGTATGGATTATATGTGCCAAAGTGAACTGATAACTGGGGGCAGGTTTCACTCCTTCAGGGATGACGAACCAGAGCGGAAAAGTCAGAGTGTTGGTAGTTAAGAACTTGGGGTAGACGGGTTTGGGAAGACTCAGACTGGAAGGGCTGTTGAGGTCATCCTGCAAGGCGTAACTGGGCTGGTGAAAGCCAGGGTCAGACCTTTATGCTTGTAGGTTTGTTACTGGTGTCAGGGCTTTGAGTCATAGTAGTGTAGCATTAAGTCATCCAAGATTATAGGGCTATAAGTGACAGAACCCCTTACTGGTTTCACTGATCCCCAAAATGTCTCACTGGTACACCAGAAACTTGCTGAAATATGCTTATGGGACTGGGAGGCAATTCAACTGGAAGTTGACTATAATCTAAGATAGCATACAGAGTTTCCATAGGAATGGAAAAGTGAACCACGAACACCGCTGGACCCCCCTCCCCCCCCCAGCCCGCTGGCATCGCTGTGGTCTCCGGCCCTTGTGTCCAGCTAACAGCAGTGGAAAGAATAAGACCCAGCACAGCTTTATTTCATTCCCTGAAGTTTCAGGTCAGAACTATGAGCCCCACACCTCTCCGCAGCAAAGCAACACTGCACTTGTATTTATGCAACCGATGGACTAGATCTTTTCCCCACCCCTGTTTCTCCTAGTTTGTGCAGCATGGCTCAGTGTGGGGGGAGGTCAGACACCAAGGACAAGGAAGGTAAAAATTTTTATAATCTTCCAAGGAAGAGAGGACGGCTGTGATGTTCTTTGGACATCCGAAGGGTTTCCTTTCCCTTCCTGAACCTCCCTCTCAACCACACCTTCCACTTCCGTGCAGCTCCCTTTTGTAAGGAGACATTAAGACCAGTGAGAGAGGGGAGGAGCACATACACTGTGTAGTCTTCCAATGAAGAAGAGAGAGCTGTTAATTTCTACAACCAACTATACATTTTCTACAACTATGCTATACCCAACAAGGACTTTTCTAAACCCACTTCCTCCCTTCCCTTGGCATGCATGGCCCCCCAAATTTTTGTTGCCTATGTACTGGCCAGGAAATGTACAGATACAGATGAAATGATTGTTCCATATATTGTATAGCTTTTGCCAAATGTGTAATAGTGGGAACTTAATTTTATTGATATATAGCATTGTCTTACTCAGAGACCATTAAGGGTTGAGTGGAGTGAGGGCTGGGCTTAAAATCAGGAGTGTGGCATTGTAGCAAGAGGAGATATTGGTGAGAGGGAGGCACTCCATTGTAATTTACCAGCTTTGGGTTCTGGCTCCTGCTGCAGCTCGGGGTCCTCCTGAGGTTTGTCCAGGTGTTGGGAGGGGCTTGCTCTACTGGCTCCTTCGAGTAGAGGTATAGAATGACATGCTCTTTTTCTGGAGCTTCTTCCTTGGACCCTTCTGCTTCCTCACCCTAGCCCTTACCGGCTTCCTTTCAGACAGTAAAACCAGCAGGATTAAGGAAGGGATTGTGAGCCACTTCTTTCTCTGTACTGGGAGCCCTTGAGAGCACCTGGTTCAGCACATTATAGAATAGGCACATATGAGGATCTCTCTTGGAGTGACTGAGTCTTTTGTCCTCCAGTATAGAAGCCTCAGGTGCTTCATGTGTTTTTGTCAGTAGGTGGAATACGGTAGGTGCCTACCATGAAATTTACCCAGTACAGATAAATGTTCCTGCTGCTCTGGATGAAGTTGTGGAGGGCAATGTACTCCTACCATACACAGTTCAGGACCTGGGTGTGGGTGAAGGACCAGGCGACTAGTCTCGGAACAGGATGCATGTTCATCTGTAGTGAGCTAAAGAGTAAAAGACCTTTCTGAAGTGATCAGTGCAGTTCACTACTGCTGGTGACAATGGGCAGACAGGGACTTTTATAGATTGGGTAAGGGGCCAGGCAGGAAAGGGTTCCCTGCATTGTGTGAATGTGGGTGGAGGACTGTTGAAACTTGGGATCTGCTACATGCCTCTTTCTCCCACACTGGCACAGGTACAGGACTGCCACAGCTGAGGCATGTACTTACCCATCAGGTGTACTAGCTTACTGCCCTCTATTCACCTTACTCCCTTCTACTCACATGCTCCTGGGGTTGAGATTTGACATTAAGGGGATTATGGCACAACCAGGTGTATGGACAAGTGTACAGTCACTAGTGTAGATGTAGCCTAATTATTCTATGCTCTATTCTTTTTGTAAAAGGTTGACATATTATACGGATATATTCCAAGCCCGGAAAATGTAAATATTATTTTAATTATTTTATATTCAACTGCAATTGCCATCCATTGCTTTCAGGTTTGTCTGTTTCAGTAATACATAGATGCAAGTACATCTTACCTCATAGCACTCAGGGATAAATGAGGAATATGGACGATATTAACTGAATACAGTAAAAGCTTTGTTATCTGGCATGTTGGGGCAATGGGGGGGTCCTAAGTCAAAAATTCCGGTTAATTAATAGGGAGGGAATTTGGGTGTGGGAGGGGGCTCGGGGCAGGCGGTTGGGGCGTGGGAGGGGGTGTGGGGTACCAGATCTGGGTGGCGCTCACCTCGGGCAGGTCCCTGCAAGCGGCGACATGTCCCTGCTGCTCCTATTTGGAGGTGTGGCTAGGCAGCTCTGCTTGCTGCCTCCACCCACAGGTGCTGCCCCCACAGCTCCCATTGGTCTTGGTTCCTAGCCAATGGGAGCTGCGGAGCCAGTGCTCAGGACTGGAGCAGTGCACCTCCGTCTAGGAATAGTAGGGACATGTTGCTGCTTGCAGGGAGCTGTCCAAGGTGAGCACCACCCGGATACGGCACCCTGAAACCTCTCCTGCGCACCAACCCCCTGTCCTGAGCCCCCTCCTGCACCCAAACTCCCTCCCAGAGTGTACACCCCGCATCCCCTCCCACACTCTCAACCCCTCGGGGCCGTTCCTCCACCTAGGAGCAGTAGGGACATGTTGCCGCTTCTGGGGAACTACGCAGAGCCGGATAGGGAGCCTACCGGCCCCACGCCAACCGGATTATAAACTGGGCTTTCAATGAAGATCAGAAATGCCGGTGTATAGAAGTTTCCGGTTGGTAAAGTGTCAGATAACACAGCTTTTACTGTAGTTTCTTTTACTGTCTATTTACATGCACTTAGAGTACTCAGCATATTTCTGTTTGTTTTAGTAATCATACATAAAATATTGTTACCTTTTACTTTAATAAGAGAAAAAGGTTTAGTATGTTTTGAAAGTGAAATATAACTACTTTTTTCCTGCTACTTGAAAGCAAAACTACTCTTAAGCACAGTAGCTTTATTAAAATAAAACAGAGATTTTGACAAATCTGGTAATTGCCGCCAAACAAATTCAATCTTATCCTTAATTTTTTTACAATATACCCACTACTTTACTTTTTAGAGCTTTACATAAATATGGTGGTATGTTCACATAAAGCATAGTGTATGCCATTAATATAAATGTAAGTAGTAATAGACTTCTGTTTTTTTAAATCATGTTAATTGTAATATACAATTTTATTAATTGCTAAGTGAATTTTGTTTTTGTTAGAATATATGGAATTTATTCAAGAGGAAAAGTCGTTCAGACATTGTTTCCATAGATTTCTAATGGCTGGAATAATAAACAGCTTGAGTTTCAACCATTCGTCTATAAATCTGCTCATGAAGAAAACACAGCTAGAACTGAGTTGGAGTTTAGTTTTTATTTTTCATTTTGGGGGTTGGGGAAATATCCCTACTTATTCACAGATGTTAAAATTGATCTTTGCCCTTATTTCCAGGTTACAAGCAATATTTGCAAAATTTGATGAAGTGAGAGACTCTGGAAATATGATTTTAAGTAACATCAGTGGTAAGTATGCAACTATATATTGCTATTCAAAGTCGGAGGTTAATGAAACTCACATCTAACCTTCATTAAGCACTGTAATCTGTTTTGTGGAACTACTAGCATTACAAAAGTGAAGTTCACGTTAATCTGTTTTAAAATATGCATTTAAGCCACAATCTGAATGTTCCACATTAGTGTAATTCTAACAAATGCTTACTCTCTCATATACTGATGGTCTTTTCTTGAAGTCATTAAGTCATATCCTTTTCTGCACAGCACTCTTGTACCCCACTATGTGAATGACTAAAATATCTTGCAGTGATTGCTATGATTTCATTACTTACATCTCTGCACCATTGCAGTGTGAAGTTTTGCAGCACCACTGAAGCAATTAGGTCCTCAAAATATGTTCAGAATAGTTACTTTTGTGCTCAGTAAGGGGTAATGAGGAGGTTTCAGAAAAGCTATCTAAATAAGTGTGTATGATTCCTTATTAGATTTTCATACATTACATATATTTAAGTTAGATCATGTCTCTCTCCAGGAATTAAACGTAAATATATTGACAGTTTTTTTCTTAAAAAAAAAAAATATTTGAGTGTCTATAAACAATTGAAAGAGCATTTTGAAACTGTTGTAGCTATTAGAAAACTTGATGTGGGTTGAAGTAAGGACTCTGATCTTACTCAAGTTCACTGTACTAGCAAATTTACTTCACTAGATTTTTTTTTTTTAACTTGTTAGTTTTGATGCAGTTCACTGAAGAAAACTGTTGTGCATTGAATTCCTGTTGTAAATTCCCCATTGTGGTTCTAGTATAGTATTTGGTTGTAGTGAAAGAACAGAAACATCACTCATTATTTTAATTAATAAATTACTTTGAGCTTTGTGTTTTAAGTGAAAGCCAATTATAAAAATTAATACTGCAACTAAAAAGGTGCTGCGTCAGTGACTTCAATAAGACTGCTTTCTGTAGCTTTCATCATTTTTTCTTGTTGTCTCAGATGTAAGAAAATCCAGATTTACATTTATAGGATTTTTCTGATTGTTGTTTTTTGAGACACATCTAGATTGCCTTAAAAGCGCATTCTATTATAATTTTAAAAAGTAGAGAAATTAGAGTTAATGTCACCCTGTTTTATTACATATAAATGCATTTTCCAAAAATTAATATTGTGATACAGCAGGGCCAGGGAGCATGGGAGGGTGGTTGAGGGGAGATATACAAGCCCTAGGCTAATTAAGGTGTGGTTCCCTATAGACTAGGAAAGGTTACTACAGATTAATTGGAGCACCTGTAGTCAATTAAGGCCCTGTCAGGAACCTAATAAAACCCCCCTGCTTCAGGCAGTCAGGGTGGTACAAGGAAGGAGAGAAGACTGGAGTTTGTAGGTGTGTTGCTGAGATTTGAAAGACCAGAGAACCGGAGGAAGGGAGACCCTGCCCCAGCAGGGTAGGGAGACTACCTCCCACACAGTCAAGGACCAAGGATAACCCTACCCAAGGGGGAAGAGGGTAAGAAACCCGTAGGGGTTGAGAGGAGCTGGGGCTCAGAGTGAGGAGCAAGCCTAAACCCCTTCCCCGCTTCCCTCCTCTACTACCTTCCCGGGCCACTAGCGGGGCCCTTGGTGCCTGAAGACCAGGGCAAGGGGTGGTGTCCTAGCCCCCCGCCAAGAAAAGCACGGGACTCACCATACCAATCCTACGAACCAAGTTTCTTTTGTCCTCTAAACAGTAAAATTTGGTGGACACTGTACTAGACAAAAGGCTAGAGTGGCCACATTTTGGGAGGGCACTAGGACGTCTGGGATATGGATGGTTGGACTTGGGCCTGTATAATGCAGTGTAGAAGCTGGAGATGCAGATTGAGAAATGAGTGTAGATGTTGAAGCCTCAGGTTAACAAACCCATGGTCTGCTAATTTGAGTTCTATTAACCCTGGGCTTACATTGCAGTGTATACATAAGCTTAGGGCAGTGGTTCTCAATCTGTGGCCCATGGGCTGCTTGCAGCCCAGTCAGGATACAGCTGCGTCCATGTGACATTCTCAGGGCCATATAGGTAATATTGGATGTGGCCCGCAATGATAAATAGGTTGAGAACCACTGCCTTAGGGTATGTCTACACAGCAGTATGCCCCTGTCCTGACTCGTGTGCATGTGGGCGTACATTAGCCAAGCCCACTTCTGAGATTCCATGTTACAAAGTGGGTGGGTGAGGAAGGTGCATATCATAGCTCAACACGTGCTCTTCCCCATACACCCACCCGAGCACACCAGCTCAGGTTCAGCTCACCTCTTACGTGGATTTGAGTGTGGATTGGGGGGGGGGGGGTATGTAGGAGACATTGGGCATGCAACACAACCCACTGCAAGCATGCATTGTAGATGTACCATGATACTGCGCTCGTTATTGGACTCTTGTATTCTGAGCTTTGCCTCCATCTTTTTATCTGACTTTAAGCAGGTTGCTTAACATCTCTGAATCTTGGTTATCTTATCTGTAAAACGCAGGTGTTCTTCGAGTGCTTGTTCATGTCAATTCCAATTAGGTGTGCGCGTGCTGTGTTTTCCCCCTAGCAGTATGTCGGGTTGGCTCAGGCACCTTCTGGGGTCGCACCTGTAGGGTGCTGGATATAGGGCCCTGCTGACCCACCACCTCCTCAGTTCCTTCTTACCACCTGTGATGGTTAGCCAGAATGCTCGCTCTTGCTTTGGCAAGCGTGTCTATAGCAGTTGAAGTTTCATTCTTTTATATAGTTAGTTTACATAGTAGTTAGTAGTTTTACATACAAGTTTCATTTGGGGGTTTCCCTCCACTTTCTTCCCAGTAACGGGGCATGCCTCAATCTCTGGGTTTTAAACCCTGCGAAGCTTCTGGCCAGCTTATGCCCAAGAGTGACCCCCATTCTTCTTCTTTAAAGTATTTGGGGTAAGCTCATCAAAAAGAATGATGCAAAATTTGCAGAAGTTTCTGTCCAAGGACACAGAAGGGGAGAGATCAGCGTCTCAAGTTAATACTCATGGAGGCAGCTCTCCATCTGCAATTGGACCCTGAGTTGATGGAGCCAACCCCAAGCATCTCATCATCGGTGCGGAGTGCACTGGCACCGCCGGCGCACGAATCGGCGTCAAGGAAGACTTGAGTAGAGACCCTCGGCACCGTCAGGACAGGGCCGGCACCGCTCACATTCACCAGTACCTCATAAGAAAGAGACCTGAAAGGGGTTGCTCCTCTATGCCCAGAGGGGCGCAGAAGGAGCCCGCCGCCGTGAGACCCACGTTGGGCCGCGCGACTTCGATCTTGGCTTCAGGGGTCACGTTGACTCCTGCCCCTACATGGGACTGGTCGAGTCCAGGCCCCCATCTTTCACCGGTCAGTGAGGGCCATGACCTATGGATGCCATCCATTCTGGAGGCATTCGAGATGGCGAGAGACCTTATCGCCTTCACGGTGCTGCCCCCTGTCCAAGACAGGACAGGACATGAGACCCCGGTGCAGTCCAGGGGCAAACCCACAATGATTCTGCGCCTGTTGCCATCCCCTCGACCCCAGTCTCCAGTGCCATCGATAAGCACGCACATGGTGGAGCCTCGCTGGTCCCCTAGCCCTGGATGACGCTCTCCAGAATCAAGTGGCACTGCTCCTCCCTGGTCCTCCTATAGAGAGTCCTCGGAATTGAAGCGGAGTCCTTCCAGATCCAGGAGGAGCAGGAGCTCCAGTTCGGACAGGCGGAGACACCTTCAGCCAGCACCGTGGCCATCAGTGGCAGTCCCCTGCTCAGTGGCCTTTTCAGACCTCTTGGGCTTTCCACCAGAACCTATGGTTCTACTCGAGGTCAGCTTCCATGGCGTCGGCTACCTTTGTTGCTCCACTATCCCAGCGTGACCAGGGTATTACCGCACCCGGCACCGAAGCACTCGATGACACCTACGCCGATACCAGTGTCCACATTGACAGCACCGGCACTGACTGTGCCGGCTCTGGCACCAGGGGCCGCGCCAGAACAGCAAGTGCCCTGAGATCCCCTCGGTGCCAAGGGCAGGGAACAGGACCCGCTTGTAGCCAGGACCTCGTCCTCTTCTTCGCCCGATAAGGTGATTGGCAGGCCCCTTCCCTGGAGGATAGAAGAGTGCTCCAACAACAACTCAGGAGGCTGGCACAGAACATTGGCAATCCAGGCTGAGGAGGTGGATGCAGCATCGGACCCTATGGTCCACATCTTGGCCCCTTTGGGCCCCTCCTGTGGTGCTCTGCCACTTATTAAAACAATTAGTGACACCACTAAAACTCTCTGGCAGACCCCTGCCTCTTTGCCGCCAACAGCAAAGAGAAATGAGCGGAAGTAGTTTGTTCCCTCTAGAGCAGTGGTCACCAACCCATCAATCGCGATCAACTGGTCGATCTTGGGGAGTCTCCCGGTTGATCGTGATGTCCGGCCACGGCAATGCAGCGGGACTGCCGCCAAGGCAGGCTCCCTGCCTGCCATGGCCCTACGCCGCTCCCGGAAGCAGTCAGCACTCCCCATGGCAAGGGTCTCCATGCGTTGCTCCTGTGTGCAAGTACCAACCCCGCAGCACCCATTGGCCAGGAATCTGGAACTCTGGCCAATGGGAGCTTTGGGGGCGGTGCCTGCAGACAGGGGTAGTGCGCAGAGCCACGTGTCCCCATCTCTCCCTGCCGCAGGGGCGTGTTGGCCCCTTCCGGGAGCAGTGTGAGGCCGAGGCAGGCAGGGAGCCTGCCTTAGCCTTGTTGCGCTGCCCACCGGGAGCTGCCTGAGGTAAGTGCTGCCTGGTGGGAGGCCACACCCCAGCCCTGAGCCCCCTCCCGGAGCCAGCACCCCTTACTTCCTCCTGCACCCTGACCTTGCTGCCCCAGCCTTGACCCCATAACCCCTCCTGTACCTCTGCCCCAGCCCTGACCCCGCTCCCAGAGCCAGCACCCCCTCATACACCCCAACTCTGCCCCAGCCCAGAGCCCCCTCCTGCACCCAAACACCCTCTCAGAGTTTGCTCCCCATA